TAACCTCTCGTCCCACCCCAGCAATGCTCAGAAAATAAAAGCTGCTCTGGGCACCCGCCACTGCCTGCTCAAGGCCAAGGAAGAGTCTCTTTCCTGGTTTGTGTGTGTGTGTGTGTGTGCGTGCGTGCGTGCGTGCGTGCGTGCGTGCGCTAGTGCTGCCTTCCTGGGGGGGGACTGCTGCATTGGGGGCGAGCAGAGGGCAAAGGTGGAAGGCAAAAAGGGAAGGTCTCGGCTAAGAATGGAGGGAGGGCGAGAAAATGTGGATTGAGAAGGACGAGGCGCCGTCTGGACAGTACCATCCATGCCGGCGGATCATGCCATGGTGCGGCTGGAAGGGATTCCCGAGGGTCGTCTAGTTCGACATCTGGCTGAAACAACGACATCCACAGCTGGAAAAGGTCCCAGACCCCCCCCCCGGGAAATAGGCCTCTGGGGCCTTCCCCTGCCCGCTGCTCCCAGTACAGCTGGGATTATTTTCAGAGCTAATTTCGAGTTTAATATTGCAATGGCTTGACCTGCTTCTCCCTCACCCCCCCGGGAGGGCTGGTGGCCCCGGTTTGCTCTTGGCCAGCATTTTCATTGGGTTCGAGGAAGGAAGGGAGGACGGAAGGAAGGTGGTTCAGGACATTTGTCTCTTTGTGTCTGTCTATCTGTGTTTGTTTTTAATTGTAAAGACAAATAATAACAACAAAACATGTGTGTGCATACATAATACAATACTGTACGACTAGAATTCCCCATCTATGCCTCCGTCACTCTCGGAACTAGGTAACCAGAAATATCCTTTGAATCACTTTTCAGCCCTTTCCACTCCAAAAACACATGGATTCTTCTGCTGGCTTCTGGTCTTTGCCTTTCACAAAGACATACTCCAAATATAATTTCCTTACCTCTTTAAAATCATTGCACTTTATGACTCCTCTTCTTACTTTTATTTCACGTTAGCTTATCATTAATCGCCAAGCTCCGCATTTCTTTGCACCAGTCTTCAAGATTAATTTGTTTGTCACTTTTCCATTTGTTTGCAGATACTGTATTCATCTTGCTACTGTGACCATTAGAATGATTAACTCTTTCTGTTTTTTTAAAAGATGGTCATTCTTAAGTGTGTGTGTGTGTGTGTGTGTGTGTGTGTGTGTGTGTCTTGCTGCCTCACCACGCCGCCGCCACCGCCACCTGGCTTAACCGCCCACTCTTTGTCCACCAGGGCCCCGCAGGACATCAGCCTGGAAGAATTTGACGACGAGGATCTGTCTGAAATCACCGACGACTGTGGCATCGGCCTGAACTACGACTCCGACCACTACGAGAAGGTGAGGGAGACCCTGGGCTGGAATGGGGTGGGCGGGGGGTGTGTGGAACCCCCAGAGCCTTCCGCTGCCCGGCGGAGTGACCCATAGTTCTCAGGTGTCCATGGCTTTTGAAGAGGTGTTACCTCAGGCTCCATCCATGGACGTTCCTGCCCGCCCCTCCCCTTGCATCCCTGGGGCTAGGGGCAGATAAGCCCCCTCTTTTGATTGACAGCAGTAGATCACCCCCCCTCCCCCCAAGAGAGGGGTCAGTGGCCTGAAGAGGGTGGCCGCAGCGATGTGCTTCCTTTCCAAAATCCCAAGAGCAAACCAAGGTCTCATCCCCACAATGGCCCGGGAGGGAGGCTGAGCATCTTCTGCTCCACCCACTGCCCAGCCCTGGGGGGGGTGGCGGGGGTTAAAGAATATTGAATGCTGTCCCTCCCCCCCATGACAAAACTCCCTCCTCTCCCCAGCCGCCCCTCCTGGCTGCTGCTTGAGAGCTGCCAAGGGGAGGAGGGTCTCCGCTATGGGGACTAGAGAAAGGTTCGACCCGCATCTCGGCTCCAATACGGATGGGGCTCCTTGGTGTGTAGGTTTTTGTTGTTGTTGTTCAAGGTGTGCGTGGAGTGGACCCAGCTGGGTCTTTGAGAAAAGTCAGGATTGTTTGGCCAAAGGGGAAATTATCCCCAAGGAGAAAAGAATCTGCCCACAGTGGCTCAGCCAGTCCTGGGCAGTAGTAGCCGGTAGCTATGACCAAGTAGCTGGTAGCCCCTGGGCTGGGGGGGGAGGAGCTGGAAGGCACGGCCACTGACCGGTCGGCCAAAGGAGGTGGCCGAGGCAGCTCCATCCATCCGTGCCCAGCACCCCTTGAAACAAAGGGGCACAGACCAGTGCTGGAGCCTCTCTGTGCCCCCTTGTGTTGGCACTTGGGCCTGATCCTTGCCCAGGTCTGGTGATGGTGTTTGTGGGTTTCTGGATCTAGATTGGGGGTGGAGAGCATTCCTACAACAGGGTGGGGCTACGCAGCATCATCATCAGGTCTGAGGATTTGCTGCTGCTTTATGGCACTCCCAAGACCAAGTGGAAAGGGGAGAAGCCTCTCCTTTGGGAGAAGGACCCTCCGGCCGGCCAGGGTCCTTATGCCCCCTCCAGAGGGCCAGGCCGCCGGCCCTCCACCCCGCCCGGAGGGCTGCGGCTGACTCTGCCCTCCTGTTCCCTCCTCCCTTGAGGGTGAATCTCCAGCCTGCCCTCCCTCCCCCCTCCCCGGCACCACACTGCCCAGCACAGCTGAGTCAGCCATTGCAGACTCCAAAGTCCATGATGCAGCCACAGAATCCGTCTCCAGAGCTCGGGAGGAATTCCTCTCAAGGCTTGGCACCCAAGGGGAGAGCCCCTGTCCGTGGACAGACCGGTGGCCCTCCTGGGGAGCTAGCAGAGGCTCCACCGAGCACAGTCCAGAAAGAGAAAGGGACCGTGGGAAGTAGGGGCCCTGGCTGGGGATTCTGGGGACCGTAGTCCTCTCAAGGAACCTTGATCCTTAGAATCAGAGAGTTGGAAGGCCCAGGGGCCCACCCTGGACCTGGCTCAGTGCAGGACATCTAGAAGCTTTTGGTGCTGCTGGGGCCATGTCTGGGTGGGTGGCCGCGTCTCAGGCTGGGAGGGGTGATGCCACGTCCCCTTGCAAATGAAAGGATAACCCTCTCCTTCTAAGTGTTCTTTGGGTTGCTCCCCCCCCCACGCTGGGCCTTGAGCCTCTCATGTGCCCCCCCCGTCCCCTGCAGGGGCAACATCTGGAAAGGGCTCCTCCTCTGATTCCAGAGCAAACGGCTGGAATGGAGCAGGAGGAAAGGGGGACTTTTAACGGGGGCGGCTCCCCCGGGGCCAGCTCGATGGTGCAACCCCGGGCGGCTGAGGGTGGGTGCAGAGAAGAGCCCCCCACACCAGGCGCTCTGAGCTGGGGAGGGGCCATTTTGCCCTGGGGTGTCGTCTCCCTTGCAGCCTTTCCAGAAATGCTTCGGCGTGGCCGAGGGGAGCCCAGCCCAAGGGGGGGGGGAGATTGGACGGAGAGTTTGAAGAGACCTTTATTTTTGGAAGAGACCCAGCGAGCCTGGAGGGGCCCTGAGGAAGGGGCACCCCTCATGCCCACTTCTTCTCCCCTAAAAGGGAGGGTGTCCAAACCCCGCTTGTCTTTCTCCCCCTTCCTCCCCCCCCCAGTCCCTCGCTCACTCCAGTCACCCAGGGATTTGACTGGCCAAATGAAAAGGAGAGGGGGCCGTGTGAGAGTCCTCTTCGGTGGCGCCCCCCCCCCACGCACGCACACATCTGAAACCCCCAGCTTCAGGGCGGGGGTTGCAGGCTCTCAAGAAGCGCCCTCTCTCGTCTTCCCTCCCAGGACTGCCTGGTGCTGGAGAGGTGCGAACAGCCCCACCCCACCTGCACCTTCCAGGATGATTTCCAGGAGTTTGAGATGATTGATGACAATGAAGAAGAGGAGGAGGAGGAGGAGGAAGAGGAAGAAGAGGAGGAAGAAGAGGAGGAGGAGGAGGAAGGAAATGGGTTAGAGGAAACCCCACCTTCCCCTTCAGTATCACCCATACCATCGCCTACTCCTGAGGAGACCCAGAAGCATCGTCCCACCACTCTCAACCTGACTGTGACGGGCACACAGGTAAGGAGGAACATCGATCTGGCCTTTGGTACCCCATGCTAGTCAAAGACAACGCTCAGGTTGCAAGTCCTGGGGTGTGTGTGTGTGTGTGTGTGTGCGCACGCGGGGGGGGGCTCTTCCTGCCGCACACGCAGGGGGGGGTTCTTCCTGCCAGTGAAGGGGGCCCACCTTGAACCAGGAAAGAGTGGTGTTGGATTTAAGGAGTTCAATCTCGTATCTTCCCCCCCGCCTCAGAATACTTATGTCCCACTTTTTATGCACATGTTCAAAGTGGTTTACAACACCACGAGGGCCTTCCTTTTCTGGAGGCCTTCACGCAGAGACCAGAGAGCCACCTGCCAGGGACCCAGAAGTCACCCCCTGCCCTGGAGATCCTTCAGAAGGGGGAGCCCTATAGATAGAAAGAGAGAAGTGAGAACCCCACAGCTGGAAATATGTTCTTAACCCCTCAGAAAAGTGGCTCTGGGGAGGCTGGTGCATCAAACGTCCGTTCTCTTATCCGCTTCGCCTTATTTTGTTTTGGAGAGAGGCAATGAGTTGTGGACAGGGGGAAGAGGCAGCTGGTGCCTCGGTGGCGGCCTGGGTGCTATGAAATAAATGTACGGCAGGCAGGCTTTCCTGCCACTTAAAACCAGAGAAAGCTCCAGAAGCATTTTGCATCATAAATTAACCAAGAGGAAGCTGCTGCTTGTCTGTATGAAAACCTACGGAGAAGCAGTGGAGGCTGCACCATGATGCATTATGCAAATGGGGGGGGGAAAGGGAGTTTTCCCTCCCTCTCCCTCCCTCCCTCTTGGTGCTGTAACTCCTGGACTCCGGAGGACTTTCCAAGGCTGATGGAATTTTCAGCAGCCTTTTGAGGGGCTGGGCTGGGGCGCAAGTGAACCCCCCCCCCGGGATGGGTCTTGAAATCCTTCGCCCTCTGCTTCCCAGCTCTTTCCAGAGGGTTTGGGGGAGAGGGATGTATGAGGGCAGAATGAGATCATGGGGCTGGTTGGAAGGATGCTTATTTCTCCCCCCCCCCTCAGCGAGCGAGTGAACGGGGTGGGTGACTCGCGTTTTGTGACTGGTCATCATGGCCTTCCTTCCCAAGCCTGACTGCTCAGGGAATCATGTCTTCTGGAAACATCTGGGAACAGCAGGAAATGCCCATTTCCATGAATGAGTGAGATGGCTCTCCCTCTCATTTGGGGGAGGCAGGGGGGCCCTGATAAACAGCCATGGTGAAGGCAGAGGAAGGCCATGACTGAGCCCGGTGCTGGCTAGAAGAGGGCGTGGAGCCCCAAGACCGCCAGGCAGGGAGGCTGAACCAAGGGAGAAGAACCGAGGGCTCCTAGAAGGTGGGGTGGGGGGGAGAAGAGCCTTCGTTTCCCCCCCTCGTCCCCGCCCCCAAGGGAAGGAGGCCTCTCGGGAGGCTGGCACATAAAAAGGTGCAGGGGCAGGCGAGGCAAGGGTGTCCCTAGAGGTGTGTGTGTGTGTGTGTGTGTGTGTGTATGGGCACCTAGGGCCGTCCCTCTTCAGC